TGAGAGATCCTCTTGCTGGAATGAGGAGGGAAAACATCATGTGTTTTACAGCCTGTTCTTGTTTATGCATCCCATATTGGAATTCAATATGGCAATAGTGTAACCCATGAGTGGTGCAGCCAATAGGTCTTCTGCTTCTTTGCTGTGTATTTGGACAGCCAGTCTTTCCTAAATGTCAGATCTTTCCTGCTGAAAAAAGATTTTTCTTCCCTGATTTGTCTGAATTCTTTTGAATTTTAAGCCAGTGCCTACAGCCCCTCCAGCTCAGGAACATCTGAGAACTTAATAAGGATGTTCTCCACTACAAAACAAGTTATTGGTGACAGAACAGTAAATAATGATGGTAAACAAAAAACTGGAATCTGTTATGGAAGGAAAACAGACTCATCTGAAAGGATTCATTCTTGGCAAAGGCCATGATTATTACTCATCTCTTTCTTTGATTAAAAGTCCCACTGTTTGCTTTGGGTTTTTTTTTTTTACTTGAACCCAACTGTTTTGTGGTTCCTTGGTTTCCTCCTTTTACCCTGCTAACAATAAGAGACACTAAGGTCTTGTTCCTGTGACCCCATCCCCCTCCCTCTTTTCCCAGAGATATTGAATGTTTGGAGGTGGCTCCCATCAGTTTTTGAGGTAGAGGGGATTTTTTTTCCTCAGGCAAGCAATCTGAAAATAAGGAATGATTGAAATATACTTTAATTCAAACTTTTTGGAATCCTCCCACCTCCTCCACTGGCTGTTTTGCCAGTGGAAAAAGGAAAAGTGGTAGAAGACAGAAAATGAGCATTGATTAGATTTTGACTACAGAGATGGAAATTGAATAGAAATGCAAAATCTTTCTTCCTGCTGGTTGCTCTGTCTTCCTACCACACAGCAACCACCTGGGAGATCTGATTTTGCTTGGAGCTGAGATGTAGGCAGTGCTCTGCTGGTGACATCAGTGCTTCCTCTCTCCTTGTGTTGTTTTTCTGCATTTTTCAGCAGCAGGAGATGCCATCTGGGGAGGGCCCAGCTTTGGTTGTGTTCCTCCAGCTCCCACACAAGCAGTAACAGCAATTCCAGAGGCTGCATTCCTGCCTGTTACCTTCAGCATCTGTCTGTTGGCCTGCTGCTGCTCATGAATTTGCTCTACCTTTTATAAACCTGCTGATCCTATTTGTTTCCACAACCTCCTGTGGCAGTGAGTTCCAGAAGTTCATTCTCCCACCTGCTCCAAATAAAGTCCTTTTTACCCATTTAAAATCAATCTAGCAGGCTGATCAATGGCCTCTAACTCTCATCATGCACCAGGTCCACGTTCTCTTTATGATTTTGTAGGGCTGGCATGTTTTGCTCTCCAGAGAAAAATCCCAGCCTCCCCAGAACCCCTTTGTATTGCAGCTACCCCATCCCCTTGATCTCAGTTGCCCTGCTCAGGGCTGTAAATCCACAATGTTCTCACATCCTAAGATATCCTGTTGCCATAGGACAAGGGGTGATGGCTTCAAACAAAGAGATTTGATTTCAATTAGATGTAAAGAAGAAGTTTTTACAGTAGGGGTGGTAAAACATTGGCACAAGTTGCTCAGAGAGGTTGGGATGCCCCATCCCTGGAAACTTTCAAGACCATGGGGCTGGATGGGGCTCTGAACAACCTGACCCAGTGGAAGCCATCCCTGTCCATGGCAGAGGTGATGAACTACACAACCTTTAAAAGTCCATTCCAACCCAAATTATGCCATGATTATAGGATTCCATGATCAGAGGCCAGACCTGCACAGATGTGGGTGCACCAAGCTGTTACACAACAGGCAGGAGATGCTCTCTTTGTTATTTTGCAAGCCCAAGCCCTTCCTGATGTCACCACTGTATTTTTTTTTTTTTCTCTGCACATCAAGGCTACAATTTTGGCAAACCATCAGTGAGGACTCCAGCATCTTTTTCCTGAGCTGTAATAGCCAGTTTAAGTTCAGCCTCCTCTGTTTTAGATCACATTTCCCTATCCAGGTCACCCTCTTTATCTACACTGAAAGGATTGACCTTCTGTTTTTCCTTTTGTGAGTAACACTGAGAGCTGCACATAGCAAAGTTCCACAGAGTACATCAAATATCCTTTCAGCAGCCTCCTGCAGTGATGGAGCATCATTTGACTTTTCTGTCCAAAGCTAAAACTGTGCAACTCTAACAGCAGAGTTTTGGTCCCTAATCCTGGGGTACGGTTCCTCGTTATTCTCTTCCTTCCCCTGTCACAGTGACTTCAAGTCAAGCTGCTGGGTGGACACAATTCAATGCAGATCTAGCTGAAAATAGTTAAAACAGAGTTTTCCAGTCAGTGACACTTTTTTTATTCCTTGCACTAGGATCAAACAGAGGTAGGGGAGCAGACTGTGCCAGCTCTGTGCTCTCCAGAGACCTTTGCACATGGCCAGGAGGATCCCAGCTATGGATTTATGGAAAGCAATACAGCAAAATGTGCATTGCAGCTGCTCATCCAGAAAGCTTTTAGACATCCCTCAATAGTTGAGCAGCTCAGTGCCTTTATTAATAGTAGAAATGTATTTATCAAAATTCATGGGTCAGCACTGTTAAAGCTCCATAAATCCAATTTGCACAGGCCACCATTATTTATTTTTCCAGGTTGTTGCCTCAAAGAGGGATACTTCCAGTATCCAATCCAGACTTCTCCACAGGCTTGTTTGAAGCACTGTAGGAAACACACTCTCCAGAACAGGGTCTTCCTCTTTTGTCTGCCTTCCTGATGTGAAGGGCTGTGTTCAGGACTCATGGACCACAGAGCAGGAAGCAGAAGTGGTGAGCCCTGACCATCACAGGGACACCGACACCACTTTCAGAGCGTCACTGACTCAGACAGAAGCCCTGACCCCAGCACAGCCACGGTTCCTGAGGCTGCAGCACAGACAGGATCCCCTGTGTGATTTTCTGAATCCTCTGGGCTCTTGATGCCGCACAGGATGAGGCAGGTGCCACTGTACCTTCTGCCTGGCTGCAGGTCTTTGTGATGCACTGACTGGGCAAGTGGAGGAAGCTTCAGCTTCTCCAGCTCCAGCTTCAGCCCCAGCTCCAGCTCTGCAGCCAAAGGAGACCCTGCCTGGCCCAAACTCACCCCTTCTGAGGCTGCAAGGCTGCTTAGCCAAAGGGAAAAGGAGCAGCCCAGACAGTCACTGAGCCAGGGACAACATTTGCACGTCCCCATGTGTTTGGAGCAGCTGTCACTCTGGAGGTGGCATGTCCTACAGCATCCATCACACAGGGAACACTGGAATGCTTCTCTTGGGAACAAGCATCTCCAAGGGACCCAAGCTGTGAAAAAAATAGATATTGTAACACATTGTGGATCTATCTGACTCTGCATTGTGTTAGATAAGCTTAATTTATGCTCAGGTCTTTGACTTTTTTTTTTCTCTTTTAAGAGGAAAATAACTAGAAATGGCATTTCAAGAAAGTAATTCATAAGTGCTGATTGGAGATGAGCTGATATCTTTAGAAGTGGAGTTGAAGGCTAAATTAATGTAGAATGGGGACAGAAGGGTTTATTTGTTTTTCTCTTAGAAGGAGAGCTCTGAAAATCCAAGGATAGTATCACACAGGGGCAAAGGGAAATGAACAAGCAGTGAACAAATTGAAGCTGGAAATTAGCAGAATAGTCTTTTCCCATCCCTTGAGCTTTATGTGCTCAGCTTGTGGGCTGACTTCAGGGAAGTCTTCTCCTAAATCAGGTGAGGACATTGCCAGCTTTGAGCACACAGCCTGCTCTAACTGGGATTTTGGTGGTGTCAGAGCTCCTGGAAAATGGCAGGCACTTCCCCAGGGGATTTCCTTCCCATGCCCCAAGAATTTATTACAAAGAGTAAAGTCTTGTGATAGCAAGCAGCAAAGACTTTGAGCTCCAGAAGAAGAAACTCCACCTCCAGGGAGCTCGTGGCTGACTGGAAACAGCTCTGAAGTCCTCAGCTAAGGAGGACTTGACTGGTGAGTGAGTGGTGGGATTTTTGCCTGAGCAAGGACTTCGAGATTGTCCCCAAGCTGCATTATTTCCGCTGGGGAACACATCAGACGTATGCCAAGGAAAACGCAGGTAAAAGAAAATCCTTGACTCTTTTGAAATCAGCTGGAAAATCAGAGAATGACTTGACCGTGCCTATGAAAGCCACATCTCCCGTGAGTCCTATGAACATGGCAGATCCGTGAGAGCAGAGAAAGCAACGGGCTTTGCAGAAACGAGCATTAAATCACCCATCAGCTGAAGGGCTGAGCCTCCGCAGTGATTCCCGTCTGAGCGGGGGCATGGTGGGCTGCCCGATCAGACCGAGCCATGTGCGTGTTTGTGATTCCAGCTTCAACTGATCTCCAAGTACCAACCACCACCTTCCCCGGCCTTCCCGGCGCTCAGAAGCGCAGCCGGGAGCCGCACTGGCACCGTACCCGGGATGCTCCGACCCGCCGGGCGCATCCCGGGGCTCGCAGGACGGGGCGGCCCGGGGCCGTGCGGGGCGGAGCGGGGCCGTCCGGGGCGGTGCGGGGCGGGGCCGTGCGGGGCGGTGCGGGGCGGGGCCGTGCGGGGCGGTGCTCCCCGGCGGCAGCTGCGGCCCCGCGGGCAGCCCAGCCCCGCTCCGTCGCTCCGGTGCGGCGGGGGGCGGGCCCGGGGCGGGCTCGGGGCGGGCCGGGCGGCGGAAGCGGCGGCGGCGGCGGCGCTGCGGGGCGGGCGGGCGGCGGGGCCGGGGCAGCGGCGGGCGGGCGGCCATGGCCGGGGCAGCCGGGCCGCCCCTGCCGCGGCTGCTGCTGCTGCTGCTGCAGCTCCTGGCGCTGCCCGCCGGCCGCGCCGGCCGCACCGGCCCCGGTGAGTCCCGGCGGGGCGGAGAGCGGCGATCCGCGGGGTCTCGGGGGGCAGAGGCGGCGGTGGGACAGCGGAGGGTGGTGTTGAGGGGAGCCCCGGGAGCTGCCCTGGGTGTCGCAGCTGCTGCCGGGGTGGATCTGCGGTGACTTTGGGGCGGTTCGTGCTTTCCCGAGGGAGCCGGGGGCTCTGGAGCATCCCCGGGGAGCAGCGCTTGTGCCGGCCCTGCGGAGCAGTGCCAGGTCAGGCCACTCGCAGAAGGCTCTGCTGTGTTCGCAGCGCTTGTTTTCCTTGGGTTTGCCTTGTTTTCAGGTTACTTTACTTCCAGTGCATGCGGACGGATGGATGGAAACGGGGCTTTTGGGAGAGCGGTGGGTCTGGGGTCCCGCGGGGATTGTGCAGCCCCTCCGGAGCTGCTCTGGGGTGGAGATGTTTTTTGGGGAGGCGAGGTTGTTCACCTGCCCGCTCCGTCCCGGGGGTGGGCTCGTTGTGCCCGTGGTTGTCCTGTTGATGATGGATGGTGCTTATCGCTTCCTCACAGTCCGCAGAGCGTGAGGCTCCCGGGGAGCCGCGGGGACGTGGCCCCGTGCTCCAGGCCCACCCTGCTCTGGCATCCTGCTCGCTGGGTTCCCAGCCCTGGAGAGCTCCCTGCGCCTCAGGTGTGGTGCCGGCTTTGTCCCGGCGCCGTCCCGCCGGCTGTGGGAATGGCTCTGTAGGGAAAACCTCCGTAGGGATACGGCTGGGCGCTGGCAGAGATCAGCCGCTCAGCCGGGGAGCGAGGGGATCCTTGTCCTGCAACATTTGCAGGTGGATTTTAAGAGCCGGGATAAAGGAACGGGATTGCTGTTACATTGTAAGTGGGCAAACATCCTGCAACGCAGCCCAGCCTTTTCTCGAGTCGGGCTCATCAACTCTGTAGCTTTAGACGGTGTCTGCTTTGAAATGAGGGCTCCATCCCTTTGATGGGGCGCCCTGTGAAACCCGCAGCCAAGGCATTATGTCCTAAAACTACCATGAGATCATCTTTGGACAAACAAACCCAAGCTGTGGCAGGTGACTCTTTACTCTGAAATTGAAATAATGTGTCTCCTCCGTGCATCAGGGATTCTACCGCGTTCTGTTCCTTGTCTTAAAACACCTCTGGTTTTTGCACAAAACCTTTGAAATCTGCTTATGCGAGATCTGTATGGAAGAGGATGGAAAACAGCATCCACTGGATGGGTCTCTTGCTCAGTTTAAAGCTTGTTTCACATCATGGAACAGTCAAGTGGGACTTTCCAGGTGTTGCCACGCTGGCGTTGAGCAGACTGAATAGACGGGGATGGACACAAAGAGAGCACAGCACATGCCAGAGAACTCTCTCTTGATGCAAATGGGCTGCCAGAGCTCACATTGAGCTGCCAAAGCACACATTGGGCTGCAGTGACCTGTCTTTCAGGCTTTTCTGTGCTGATGTCCCGCTTATCTGTGGTATTTCCTTGTCACCCTGGGTGGAGGAAGTCACATACCAGGCTGTGGTGCAGCTCTGGGTGCCCAGCACAGCCTGTGAGCAGGGGCTCAGCCCTTGTCACCACAAGCAGCTGTTTGGCAGTGGACTTTGTCCACAGCCCCAGCTGGTGCTCACCTGGTGACAGGCAGTGCGTGGGCAGGGCAGGGCTGCCTGCTCTGACCTGGTAATGCTCTTGAGCTCGCTCCACATAATTGACCAGTCCTTAATAAAGAGCACTGCTGATTGCTGGGGTTTTTAATTTTGCACTTGGCCCGCCCTGTCCTCCCCCAAACCCACACAAGGGGATCTTTGGCTCGGTGAGGACGTGCAGGATGGGTGGTGGCCGTGGCTGACAGCTGGTGGGCTTGGGGCAGGTTGGAGGTTGTCAGATGGGACCTGTTGCATACAGAAGGACCAGGGCTCTCCCAGCTCTAATGATGCTTTGTGTCCCTGCCTACCTTCCTCCTGTGCCCAAATGTCCCCATGGGCTGCCAGAAATGGGAGTGCCAAGTGTGTATGGAGTGTGCTGGGGGTACAGACAGCACTGATGAAAACTCCTTTCCATAGCCCCAATGAGGGAAATGTCCCTGGGCTTGCAGGGATCACAGCCAGCTCTTGTCCACAGTACCCACGCACTGTACTGGCGTTTCAGCCAGGGAGATTTGGTTTGAAAAGCCCCTTTTGTGGTCTCTGCTCCTTGCTGGCTGGAGAGCAGTGTGTCCCCGGCCTGGGGACTGCAGTGGGACAGCTCTGCCCAGGGGCTGTGCTCTCTTGGCTGCCCTGCTCAAGGCTCACTTCTCCCTGTGGCCTTTCCTGGCTCTGTGCACGGAGGTGCTGCCAGCTCTGTCCCCCGGGGCAGCCCCTGCGGCAAGGTCAGAGCCAGGCTCTTCCTCCCGGAGCAGATCCTCCAGCTGCCTTGTGTGGCTGGTATTTCTCGCTTTCCTGTCTCCTCCTTTCCCTGCTGGGCTCGCAGGATGCCCGCAGGCTCTGCCTTGGTAAATTGCCAAGGAGTTAAAGCCATGATTACCGTTCCCGTCTCCCGGCCCTGCCGTGGGTGCAGCGTCCTCCTTTGGGGCATGAATGAATCGTAGTTCCTGTTAGGATTAGGTTCCTCCCGGCAGGAACTACGTCCCAAGGATCTGCTGCTGCCTAAGGATTGTTTTCCTCTTTCTTTGCTGTCTTTCTTATACACAGTTGTGTATAACAGCTCTGTGTTTGTAGCACGACCCTGTGCAGCTTTGAGGGAAGGCCAAGTTAACTCACCCTCACTGCTATTCTATGATAGAAACGAGGAATCTGCCTCTGAAAGGTGCCACAGTTTCTCCCCACTCCGGGGATTCCAAAGTAGGAAAGGAGCATCAGGAAGATGCTCCATCATCTCCACAGACCCATGAAGACATAACCCTCTGCCCTCTTGCTGAGTGTTACAAACCTTGGTTTTGGATGGCCTTGACTCTGATGTCTCTGTGCAGTTTATCCCTTTCTCAGCTGATGTGGTGCTTCTTTTCCAGCCCTGAGCTGCAGTCCAGCTGGTTTGGTCATTTATATTTTGCTGGGGGTGATCTGTAGGTGTGTGGCTGGGCAGAGGGATGGAGGATCTAGTTCATCCTGATGGCACTTTGGCTGAGTAGCTGTTGTCCTCTTGCACACCCTTTCAGCCTACCCTGGGGCTGTTCTCACTGTCCCAGCAGCCTTTCTTCCAGCTAGGAAAATCACTAGGCTTTAGAAGGCATGTCTGAAAGAGTTACATTTGCAGCACATGAATTTGCATAGTGTTGTGTGTCACAGGAAGGCAGCACCTTGTGTCCTGAGCTGGGTAAATGGATAACCACAGAATGGTTTGGGTTGGAAGGGACCTTTACAGATCATCTCATGGGCAAGGACACCTTCCACCAGATCAGGTTGCTCTGAGCTCCATGCAGCCTGGCCTTGGACACTTCCAGGGATGGGGCAGCCTCAGCTTCTCAGGACAATCTGTGCCTCCTCACTCTCACAGGGAAGAATTTCCTCCTAACATTCAATCTAAATCTCCCCTCCTTTCATTTTACATCATCCCCCATCCTTTCCCTCTCTGCCCATGTAAAACATCAGCCCATGTGCTCAGCAGCAGACAAGGGCACAGCTCTTGCCTCCTGGCACCATGAACTGCTGCTGGGGCAGAGGGCACCCCATGCTGCCTGCGCCCATCTGCTCTGTGCTGTGCCCAGGGCTCCTGCTGCCTATTCCATCACCTTTCCTTCTGCCATCAGCCTTTCCTCCTGACCTTTTCCTCCTGTTTGGTGTCTCTGGTGATCTCTTATCTTCAGGGCACGTTTCTCAGAGTGAAGTTTAGGCATCTGTTAGTGCTCTCTGGTTCAGGGTGATGGTTTCATAGTAGGCACGTGGGTGGTTCTGGCTGGAGGTGCACGGATCACCACATATCTAATGGGACTGGAATGAGAAATCAGGGACACAGAGTGCACTGTTCCAAGAAACATTAAACCTCCTGTGAGCTTCTGTGGGTGGATAAAGCCCTGCAGCCTGCCCCAGCAGCTCCCCCACCAACTGCTGTGCTCTCTCCCTCGCAGACTCCCTGTATGTGTCCGAGTACTTCTCTCAGAGTGCACAGAAGCTCTCGTTCTACAGCTGGTACGGCAACGCCAAGCTCTTCCACTTCCACGTGCCAGAGGACACCGTGCTGCTGCGCTGGCTCCTGCAGGCATCCCGGGGGAAGGGCCCTGAGTGCACCAGCATGGAGATCACTGTGTATGTATGTCCTGTGTCCCTGTGCCAGGGCTTGTCCTGTGGGCTTCTTGTCCCCTCGTCCTGGTCCTCGTGGCTGGGGTTGGTTGTGGAGGCTGGGCAGTTCCTCATGTGGTTTCTTCATGCAGCAGCAGTGAGTCTGTGTTAAAACCTGTAGGAGTGTTTGGTGTTCGTGTTACCAGCGGGTCTGGGGCTGCCTGTCAGGTGTGGTGTCCCAGAGAGCCCTTAGGAGTCTGGAGAGAGCTTCACAGTGAGGCAGGTGTGCTGCTCAGAGCTGTTCCTGGCCTGGCAGAACCTGCACAAGGTGCCAAACGATGTGGCAGGGCTACAAGGGACTTGAGCAGACCCAGAATGGTTGGAGATGGGCAAACTGCCCAGTGCAAAAGAACTGAGGAGATTTGGGGGCACTTTGTGAGGGGCGCGGCCGAGCGTGGAGCAAAGATAGGAGAGGAATGTGGTGTTGTGTGGATACAGGAGCATGAGGAGATTGCAAACTCAATGTCAGTGAAAGAAATGCTGCTTTTAAAACAGTGCTTGACTTGTTGAAGGATTTGAGGTCCAAAACTTGGCAGATTTTGAGCTTTATCTTTGGAGGACACCAAGCTTCCTCAGCACGTTGTGCCCATGAAGTCACACGGGTGTCTGGCACCCATTCCACAGAGATCTGGGAGTGACTGAAGCTGCTTGGCTTGTGCCTCCTTGGTCTGTCCTGGGGAGACTGGCACTCTAAGTTGCTCCTGAGCAGCCTGGCACAGATGATCTGCCTGCTTTCTGCTTCCCAGAAAGGTTTCCAGCAGTCTGGGGACGTGAGGGACAAGGCAGCAGCTAAACAATAATCCAAGAAATGATGGCTAACCCAGATAAGCTCCAAGGAGTAATAACATGTCACCTGTCATGTCTGCTTGCTGAACCTGTTGCAGTGCAGTCCAAAAGCAATCAAATTAAATGCCAAATTGACTGGGTAAATATCTCCTACGTTCCTCAGCTGTGTGTGTTTCTGCTACTTCAAATGCTGGGCTTATCTAGAAAGCAGAAGTGCTGCTGTACTGAAGTCTGTAATAGGGGCCTTCCTTGGAAAGTGTTTTTAGTCTGTCTGTTTGCCTTCCTTAAAAGAGGAAATGGGAAGATGCAGATCTTAGCTAGAAAATTAAAGTTCTTTGTAGATGATTTTCCCTATATGGGGAATTTGCTGATGATTATAAAGCAGAATTCTGTAGGTGGGGCTTAGCCTTAGCAAGTGTTGGAAATTTGCTCCCAGGCTTGATGGAACCATGTAAATCTTAATAAGCTGCCAAGTAAAACCAATCTCTAAATAAATCCTAGATAAGCTAATAGCAGCCAATCCTCCCCAGATGAAAATAATGACTCCACGTGAAAATGTGGGGTTTTCCAGCCTGCTCCCATTCCAGTCCCAGGCCAGTTTGTATCCCCGTTTTCTTGCAGGCACTTTCGGCACGGAGCCCCTCCCGTCATTAACCCTTTGGGCACCCGCTTTCCTGCCAACGCCACCGTCCGTCCCTCCTACAACATCAGCATCACCCTGAGCAGTGCAGTGCAAAACACCACCTTTGTCAACGTCACCACCCCTGCTGCTGGGGACTGGTTCATCGCTGCCCACCTGCCCCAGGCTGCGGGCAGGATCGAGGTCAAGGTGAGGGTCCTGCCCAGAGCCCTGCCCCTCGTGTCTCATCACAACCACAGCTGACCCCTGTGCTCTCCCCTCCTGCAGGGTTTCTCCACTCCATGCCCCTATATGTTCCAGGCAGATATGTTTGTGCTCAGACTCACTGATATGCCTGTCCTGGAGCCTGGTGTGCCCATGCCTCACACCGTTGTCTCGCCTGCTAAGCCACTGCATGTCAAGTGAGTGGGAGCAGCGGGTGGGCAACTGAGGGCATGGCAGGGTGGGACTTCCCACACGAGCTGCTCAGGGGAAGGCAGTGTTGTTCCCACGTGGGGCTGGAGCTGGGGGGTCTGTGAGCCTGTTGCTGAGCTCCCTGTAGCAGTGGTAGGGTCTGCACGGGGAGCACACGAGCACCCTTCTCCAGCTCTTCCCAGGTGGTCACAGATTCAACTGCAGGAGTTTTAGTACTTCCAGATGTTTGCCTAGGGAAGGACTTTCACAGCACCAACCAGGGCAGTCTAGTTCTTGTCACAAAGCCCTGGGGACCTGGCTTGTGTTGAGAGTACAAGCCCTGCAAACTGCTGCTCCCTCCCCTGCAGGGTCTTCGTTCCCAAGCACGCGGCGGCGATGCGGTTCCAGCTGAGCAGCTGCGTCACCAGCGAGCAGAGAGCCTGCACTGTGAGGGTGCTGCTGGGCTCCATCACCCTGCCCCAGTCCTTCCAGAGGAGCCTCACCTGCACAGGGAGCACCAACTGCAGCCTGGCCCTGGAGTCACCGCCCTGGGAGAAGTGGCTGCAGATCATGGTGGAGAGTCTCGGCACTGCCAACGCCAGCGTGTCGGTGGAGATGCTGGCTTCTTTCACAGGTGGGATTCCATGTTCTTTAGCCAAAAGAGAAGGACCAGAGGGAGCTCTGTGTGTGCTGTGTCCCCCTTGGGTCTTTGGGTGCTTGGCTGTGGTGGCCATGCTCCCCATCATGCTGGTTGCCTCCTCTTGGATGCCATAGTTTTTGCTTTGGGGACAAAATTGAAAACTCTGGTGTTCATCCCAGAGAGGCTTTTTCTAGAGCTGCCTGTTTGGAAACACGTGAAAAGTTCAGTGTTAGTGTCCTAAAGGTTGTTTGGGAAGCAGTGGCTGGCTTAAAATTTGGTGGGGAAAATATTTTTCTGTGGTACACCAGACTAAGGCTGTATTGACTACGAATTGGCCAAGAGCAGGCTACAGGCAGGAAACCACAGAGGTTTAGTTGGGGAAATGTCTGGTGTTGTTGTAAGGGGGTGTCACCATTTCCAGTGACACCATGTGGCTCAGGTGGTCACAAGGTCCCTGTGGCTGTGTGGTAGGCACCTATTACATGACCATAATCCCTGTTTGACTGCTGGAAGCTCACCAATTAGGTACATTTTGGAAGTTTTCTTCTGCTGGGGCTTCTGCCACCTCCTCTTCAAAGCAGAGCCTCATCCTGTGTGCTAGAAGACCTGGCACTGGCAGCAGAGGTGTTATCAGAGGGTAGTACTGGAGTCTGTGGGAGCAATGGACAGTCTCCAGCAGTGGGACTCCAAGTGTCCCATGCAGATCCATCTACCAGGGTGCCCATTTCCACTGGGTTGGCTTCTCCCTCCTGCTCAGCTTTGTTTGCCCACATATGGGGAGCTGGGAGAGACTTTTGTGCAGCCTGTGGGACAGCTGAGTGCTGAGCTCTGCTGGTGCTGAGCGAGCACTCCCTGGGCACCTTGATGGTGCTGTGCTATCCCTTCTTCTCTTCCCTCTCCCCTGCAGCTCCAGGGTGCTTCCACCCACTCTACCACTGCCTGGCTCCCAGCAGTGTCCCAGCTTGTGGGTGCTCCTCCTGCAAAGATGGCACTTCAGGGACAGTTCATGCAGGGCATGGACCTCCTGAAACCCCCCAGTTTGTGCAGGGCATGAACCACCTGAAACCCCCCAGTTTGTGCAGGACATGAACCACCTGAAACCCCCAGTTCATACAGAGCATGAACCACCTGAAACCCCCCAGTTCATACAGAGCATGAACCACCTGAAACCCCCCAGTTCATAAAAGGCATGAACTACCTGAAACCCCCAGTTCATACAGGGCATGAACCACTTGAAACCCCCCAGTTTGTGCAGGGCATGAACCACCTGAAACCCCCTGGGGTTTGTGCTGCTCCTTGGAGCACTGGATCTGCTGGGTGAGGTGCTAGACCTGGCTGTGCTGATTCCTCTCCTTTTTCACTCTAGTTTGCAGACCAGGAAGCACCAGTTCCTTCCTTAACTTCATCAGCCTAAACCAGAGCCAGTCTGCTCCCCACAGACCAGGAGCAGCAGGCAGCTCTGCTCTGGCTGCAGCAGAGGCTCCGCAGAACACGTCTGGGCAGCGCAGCAGCTCCTGCCTGCAGAGCCAGCCCGTGGTCAGGGAGGACCTGGACGTGGTGTCCGTGCGCTACCGGCTCCTGAACGGCCCCAGCGTGCCCGTGAGCTCCCTGTCCCCCACCCTGCTCCTGCTCAACCTCAACACGGGCATGGACAGCGGGGGATCCCTCGTGGTCAGTCTGCTGCTCAACAAGGTGAGCAGGGTGACAAACGGGATTGTGTCCCCTCGGCAGGGCTCCAGGGGTTGTAGGCACCAGTGGGACTGTTTCTCTTTTTGTTGTTACAAAGTACTCTGAGCCTTTTTTAGCTGCTTGCAGCGTGTCCCACCTGCCAGCTCCAATTCCAATGGCACAGCCTGCAGCGTGTGGTGGCAGTGACGCAGAGGAGACAAAATGGAAAGCAGCTGCAGTGCCATCCTCTCCATGGGAGCCTGGCACCTTGCCACCAGGAGAGGAGGCTGGGCAGGGGAGCCCAGGGATGTTCCTGTCCAAGTCATTGATTCCCAGCCTCCTTCAGTCACACCCCACCACCACCACCACCACCAAAATCAGCCCCCTGAAATTCCATTAAACTTCTTGAGGGCTGGCCCAGGGCTCAGCCCTGATGTTCTGCAGACTCTGACTCGTGTCTCCCCTGTGCTGGTGCTGAAATGATGAGTGGGTGTCCCAGCTTTGGGGCAGGGTCCCCCACGAGGGTCTCTTGCCTCTCATCCATGACACAACACAGTGGCAGCACAAACAGAAACCTTCTGAATTGATGGGTGACTTGACCTGAAGGATTTATTGTCCCTGGGCACTGTGGGAAAGGGATGGTGCAGGGGGATGGCACTGGGGCACTCTAACATGGGGCACTGCTCTGTTTGCACAGACATCTGTGAGCCTGGCCAATGCCACCGTGGCAGCCTGTGTGAGTGCTGCTTCTCCAGTGCTGTCCCTCAACGCCACACAGAACTGCAGCACAGGTAGGAGAGATGCTGGCACTGCCACCAGCTCAGCTGTGTCATCCCAGGCTCTGCTTTTGGACCTGGCAAGCTGTTAACTGACTCAGGACTTCATGGTGTGTCCCAAAGAATCCAGTTTTTGCACAAACTCTCATGAGGTTTTTGTGCTGGCAAATTCCCAGGGTGCTGGGGTGCAGGTGGTGTCCTGGCACCACGAGATAGCCTCCACCAAAGGAAGGTCTGGTTACCAGCTGGGGCTCTTCCAGCCTTGTTGCCAGGAGGTTTGGGGATGGTGAAGGTACTGCTGGTGTGCAAAGCAGTTAAGCTGTGCATGGAGGACCAGCCAAGACAACAGGCTGTTCCAGGTGCCCTGTGCTGCCCAGATATGTACCAGGAACTGAGATGAAAGAAAAAGTTGAGATCTCAAGAAAAAGGATCTTGAGAGCAGGGGTGCTCTCCAGGCCCCTGGTGCCTCCTGAGCACGGGAGCAAGGAGCCACAAGAGCCAGCTGATTCCTGTGGGGTCAGTCTCAGCCTGGGATTGCTGTGGGCCCTTCTCCTCAAGCCCTGGCACATCACAGCACTCTCCTTTTTTCAGCTTTCTCCCAGGGCTACCCTCTGAGTGTGAGCACGTCCTCTGCAGAAGCCATGCTGATTGTCCTGTACCCACAGACCGATGACTGGTTCCTGTCCCTGCAGCTCCTCTGCCCCAGGGGACAGGGGTGAGTCTGGATGTCACCTCACTACCTCCCACTGCCCTTGTGTGAGCAAACCTGACCCCTGTCCTCCTGTGCGGGCTGTGGGCTCCTCTCAGCTGGTGGCATTGCCCTGTGGCTGCAGAGGGACAGGGAGGTGGGTGGCCCTGCTCCCTTGTGAGCACCCTGCAGCTTGTTTGATGCTGAGCTGGCACAGCTCACATTGGCTGCAGATGGCAGAGCCTGCCTAGGGGAGCTTCCCCTTCCCCAGGTGCATTCAGAGGTGATAAATTGGGAAATAATTGCTGCTGTTACGCTCCTGGGAGGTCTCTAAGGTGCAGAATTCCTGCAGTTTGCCTTCCTGCTGATTTTCTGTGTAAGGAGCTAAGTGCACGATGCAAAACAGCACTGGTGACACTGTCCTCAGGACCAGCCATGGGCACTGGGGTCTGCCAGGGGGTCTGGGGACAGCTGCCACCCACCTGCACATCAGTTTGGCAGCCCGGGGGGCGAGGGGGCAGGCTCTGCTCCTGGCTCTAGGGAAGGATGGAGCAGATCCCGAAATACCAGGGAGTTGCAGGCAGGAGCACGGCCTGGCCATGGGGAGCAGGGAGGGGGCTGTCCCAAGGGCTGTGGCAGCAAGGGGACGTGCTGTCCTTGCAGGGGATGTGCCGGTGCTGAAGGCAGAGTGTCGGTGTTCGCCTACCTCACCCCCTGCTTCAACGACTGCGGCCCCTACGGGCAGTGCAGCCTCCTGCGCAGGCACGGCTTCCTCTACGCCGGCTGCAGCTGCAAGGCTGGTGAGTGCCCCCTCCTGGGAAGCTTTGCCATCCTCCCCGAGGGGACAGCACAGTTCAGGGGCGCGGGGTTGGAGTGGGGGAGCCGGGGGTTTGCTGTGGGTGGCAGTGTCACAGTGCCCGGGGAAGGAAAGTTCTGGGAAGCGCCCAGGGGTGATGGGGAATTGGGATGAGGACAGCTTGGAGCCCCCCAGGGCTTGGAGCAGTGCTGGTGAGCATCTCCAGAGAGATCAGGGTGCCTGAAATGCCTGTGTCAGAGCCTGTGCCTGTCAGGGTTTGCTGTGTGGGCTCCTGGTACGAGGTGTGATGAGGCTGGGCTGCAGTCCCTGTGTCTCCTGCCAAGAGCCTGAGACTCAGAGGTGCCCCTGGAGGAGGAATATCTGTGTCAGCTCCTAATTATCTTAATGGCCTGGGAAGTCTGTGGTGGAGGGAAGAAGAGCTCTGCTGTGCTTGGGTGGGTCTGTGCACCTGTTCTCAGCACAAGGACAAGGCAAAATGTGGTTCCCTGCTGCTCTGGGCCTGAGCCAGGACCTCCCTGCTGCAGTGCTGCTAATGGGTGAGGAGGGAGATGGAGAGCAGCATCCCAATTTCCCCGAGGGCTGCCAGGTTCTGGGAAGCACAGAGCACCTTAAGGGAACTGGAGAATCAGGCTGAGGACAGCTTTCTGCTGAATCACCCCGAGCAAAGTGCCCCATCTGCATATTGGTGACCCAGAAATAAACCAGAGAGAGTAGGTTCCCTGGGCTCTGCCTGGCAGGGAGCCAGCACCCGGGGCAGAGCTGCTGCTGAGGGTTCCAGTCCCTCTGGAATGGGATGGATGCCACTGTTAATTCTGCCTCTTGACCATGGAGTGCCTGCACATACCCCAGCTGCCCTGTGGCTGACCTCCTTTTTTCAAAAGGAGGGCATGGGCACCTTAATCTTTAATTAAAATAATTTAAATAATTTTTAAAAAGAAGAGGCAGATTTGTGTTCATAGAGACTGCCTCAGTTCAGTCTTTGATATCCAGTCAGGGAGTGAGAGTTTTGTTTTGTGTCAGGCACTGTCCTTTAGGGAATTAGGGTTCTTTGCAGCCCTGGATGTCACCATGGGCTGAGGCAGTGGGTTTGTTCAGCCAGTGGAAGAGGAGCTGCAGTGCCACCAGTCACACTTTGTGCTGCCCAGAGGTTACAGGGACCCTGAAGCCAGCTATGCAGGGTGAGCACAGGGAAAGGGCAAGAGGCCACAGACATTGGCTGCAGCAGGAAATTATCACCTAAATTGAAGAAGACACATTTTCTCCCCCTTCAGAGCTGTTTGTTTTTGCACAGGTTCCAGGTCTCCATCCTTGGAGATCTTCAAAAGTCAGCTGGGGAATGTCCAGAGCAGCCTGACCTGATTTGGGGTCTGCCCTGCTATGACAGCTTGTAGGAGAGGAGCCCAGTGGCTTCCTCAGCGCTGGGGATCACTCTCCATCCAATTCCTGGGATCTTGCACCCAACTTACACCATCACGTGAAGCATCTGAACCTTGAGTGCTTGATGTTCCACCAGCAAGTAGTACATGTGTTGAGTTACTGCAGGGATGGAAAGTACCAGTGTGGATGTAGGATGGCCTCTGCTACATGGGAACAACCTGGGGAATGTCCTCAGGGCAGCCACAGGGCTCTGCTGGGCTTCCCCAGCTTCCCACAGCAGAGTAATGAGACACCCTGAGAGCAGGAGCGTGAGAGGCTGATGCAGAAGAGGCTCAGGGACAGTCTGGTGTGGGATTTCTCCTTCTCAGGCACCCCAGCTCCTGCTGGTTGCTGTGGGAAGACAAGGCAGGGCCTTGGAGATCCACAGAAGCCTCTCTGTCCGCAGGTTGGGGCGGCTGGAGCTGCACAGATGACAGCAAGGCCCAGAGCGTGGGCACACAGAACCTGGCCACGCTCCTGCTCACCCTGAGCAACCTCATGTTCCTGCCCGCCATTGCAGTCGCTGTCTATCGCTTCTACCTGGTGGAGGCCTCTGTCTACACCTACACCATGTTCTTCTCCACGGTAGGGGCTGCCCTGTGTCCCCTCACCTCCCCCTGAGCTCTGGCAATGCTGTGCCAGAATCAAGTCCTTGGTGGAGCAGCCCATCCTGGAGCTCCACAAGGAGCTCCTGGGATCATTGGACAAGCACCTCCATGGGCACATTGTAGTATCCAAGAATGTTAAATGTTAATGTTAAAGTCCTTTCCAACCCTTAACATTCTTGTAGTATCCAAGAATGTTAAAGGGTTGGAATGGACCTTAAAAATCACCTGGTTCCATGGACAGGGATATCCCCAGTAGACCTGGTGGCTCAAGGCCTTATCCAAGCTGGCTTTGAATACTTCCAGGGCTAGGGCATCAACAACCTCCCTGGGGAACCTGTTTCAGTGTCTCACCATGCTCACAGTAAAAATTTTCTCCCTAATATCTAACCTAAACTTCCCCTCTTTCAATTTGTACCCGTTAGTCCTTGTCCCATCACTCCAGTTCCTGAGAAGAATCCCTCTCCAGCTTCCCTGTAGCTCCCTTCAGACGCAATGAGTTCTCCATGCAACCTTCTCTTCTCCAGGCTGAGCAGCCCCAACTTTTTCACAGAGCAGGTGCTTCAGTGCCCTTGTCAGCTGTCCCTCCTCTGGCCCTGCCCCAACTCTGTGTCCTGCCCTTTCAGAGCTGCAGCCTGCCTGCTCTCACCTGCTTTCCACAATGCCGCTTTGGTGGAGCTTCCTGGAGCCACTGCAGGAGGGATCCAGCCTGTGGGCTGAGCCCTCTCCTGCCTCCCCTTCCCAAAGAGCCCTGTGGTGCTGCAGGCTCTGTGCTGACCTTTGCTTTTGTCCCCTTCTGTTGCAGTTCTACCACGCGTGTGACCAGCCGGGCGTGGCCGTGCTGTGCATCATGGACTATGACACCCTGCAGTACTGCGACTTCCTGGGCTCCGTGGTGTCCATCTGGGTCACCATCCTCTGCATGGCCCGCCTCAAGAAGATCCTGAAATACGTGAGTGTCAGGTGTCCCCACACAGCCCTGCCAGACCCCAGCCAGCCAAGCTGAGTGACCACACTGAGCCCTCTCACCTCTGTATTTAATGACACAGCTGGGTGACACAGCCTGTTTGTCACCCAGTGCCACCCTGGCTTGTTTTGTCCCAGCACTGTGGCTTGTGAGCCTGCGTGCTCGTAGGGGCTGGGCCTGAAATTTTCCCCTGAGATTTGGGGTAAAGGTTTGTGGCTTCTGTGGTTTCTCCTTCTTGAAGGTGTTTTTCCTGACTCTTGTGTGGATGCAGAGCTGGGAAGCCAGAAGAAGAGGTTCTCCCTGCCTCTGGCATGTCTGGCTGTGCTCTCTCAACAGATGAGCTCCTGCCAGTGGTGGTGGTGTCTCTTTTCCAGGTCCTTTTTGTCTTGGGGACCCTGTTAATTGCCATGTCCCTGCAGCTGGACCGCAGAGGGGTGTGGAACATGATGGGTCCCTGCCTCTTCGCCCTCCTCATCATGGTTACAGCCTGGGTAAGTGAGGGCAGCCAGGCAGGACCTGCTGCCCTTTGCTCCCCATGAGGAATGGTGGTGGTGGAGCAGACCCAAGGCTCCAGCCCATCCAGGCATGGCTTGAAACCCTGAAACACCCAGGTGGAGGAAGCAGGGCAAGGGATTCACCTTCCAGCCCTGCAGTTGCTGAGAAACCCCTGGTTCTGAGTCTCACACCTGGAGCTGCAGTGCTGTCCCAAAACACAGGCTGTGGCTTGGCCTATGGCAGGAGCTGTAGCATCTGTGCCAGGCTCTGCTACCACCAGCTCCTGGGGGGCTTTTGCAGAGCAGAGGTGGGCCCAAGCAGCAGGGGGGGCAAATTCCTCAGGGACAGCAAGCACCCTGGTGTAGCAGTTCATTTAGGGGGGTCCCTGGGGGGCCCCTAAGCTGTATGTTCACTGGTAGCAGCACGCGGGCAAGGAGACTCCATACAGTTCTGAGGGTGTTAATTAGATGAGGTTTATTGGGGGTCCCACCCCAGGAGCAGCATGGTTCCTGAGGGAGAAAGGGGGAAGGGGAAGGAGGGGGAGAGAGGGAGATCCCAGGGGGAAAAGGGCCAAGACAGCCTCTGTGGTCTCCCCCCACAGCTTAACAGGGAGATTCAAAGTAGGTGCAGAGTAAGACTTGGGCCAATGGGGTTACAGATCCATGATATTTCAAGGCTTGGAATAAACCCTACGTTTTCAAGGGGTGAGACAGAGCATATCATTTAACTCAAATGTAACACCACACCCTGGGAGGCTGGCAGATGCTCTGGGGTCTGTTTCCCCCCTGCCCCAGCCTCTGCTGGGTTGCTGAACCCCCAGAGTGTGCTCTGACCCCCCCCTCCAGGTTCACCACGGAGCAAAGCGCAGGCACTGCTACCCCTCCTCGTGGAAGCGCTGGGTTTTCTACCTCCTCCCAGGCATCACCTTGGCTTTCATTGCCATCTCAGTGTACGCCTTCATGGAAACCAATGAGAACTACTACTACACCCACAGCATCTGGCACGTGCTGGTGGCCTGCAGCGTGGCTTTCCTGCTCCCTCCTCGGGACAAGCATAAGAAGCCCTGGGCCTGGCCCCAGAAGCTCACGTGTCGCTATCAGATCTGCCAGAACGACCGTGAGGAGCTCTATGCTGTGACCTGACCTGGCCTGGCCTGGCCTGGCCTGGCTGCAGGGATGGGGAGGCTGCTCCTGCCCATGGCTGCCCCTGGCACATCAGCACTCCTCTCGTGGGCTCATCCCCTGGGCAGGAGGGCGCAGCGTGGACTGGGTTTAAAGATGAAGATGGTCTGGGCTGGTCTTGTGGAGGCAAGTTTGAGGCCACCTCTGCTTTTCTGCTGGGGTGGGGCAGGCTCTCCGTGGTTCCAGATCAAGGAATAGCTTGTCCCCCAGCTCCCCATAGCCCTGGGGGAGATCGCCAACCCTTCTTCCCCTGCTGCTGCATCCATGAGGCTTGGGCTTAGCCCACACTGAGCTGGAGCCAAGGCTTTGGCTGCTGGGCTCTTCTCTGCACCCCCATCCTGGCAGAGGATGTGGGGCACCCCTGCCATCCTGCAGCCAGCACTTGAACTCAAGAGAAGAACAGAAGTTTCTTCTGCTCTGGGGAGCAAATGCTGCCGAGTGCCCTTGGTGCTGATGGGGAGGGAGGGAGCTGATCCCAACACATGCTGGGCCCTTGGCTGCCATCTCCCTGGGGGTCTGGAGCCTCTCTCCCTTTGAAACAGGTGCTGCTGCTCTTACCTGGTCCTGATTCTGTGGGGGAAGAATGAGGCTGGGACTTGGGCCGTGGATTCAGGATCAGACCTGGCAGGAATGTGAAAAACCCCACGTGGGGACATGCAGGAGGCAGCAGCAGCAGCATGTGACACCCACAGCAGTGCAGGGTTTAGTCTGAGTTTAACTTCAGCTTGGGAGGAGCCAGGCTGATGGTGTTCAGGGATTCACTGTGTTCCTCCTTTTGGGGGGTTTGGCAGGGCAGGGCTCTCTCTGGGGCAGCACAGGTGGTTGGGATGGTGCCTGAGCTGCTCCTCCAGCCTGCTGTGCCCCAGAGCCTGGATGTGCTGCAGGCTCTGAGGCCTCAGCAGCCCCAGCCCAGCCAGGAGCATCACCAGGGGCTCCCCGGGTGGCCACGGTCTCCTTTGCAGCGTGTCTCACCTTAGCCTTACTCCAGGGCACGCAGAAAGCAAGGGCAGAACTTGGCAACCAGGGAAGTTGTCTTTGCCCATCCTTCTTGTACAGATAAGGGCTCAACTCCATCCTTCCAGCTGTGTCAGCCTGGTGTGTGCTGCTGGGAGCCCTTCCTCAGGTGGCTTTGGGGAGGAAAGAGCTGTTTATGAAGGATTTGCCTCCTCGGGGTTCTTTCTCTGCTTTGAAGAGCACCCAGCTCAGCTGTGCACTTTATCCCTCTGCCTCCCCTTCCTCTGCAAAGTCCCCCTTTTTAAGCAGGCTCAGGACAAGTGAGGGACACTTGTCCACACCCAGCAGTGTCATCCCCCTGCCACCCGTGTCCCCTGCCTTTCCTTGTGCTGCTCCCACCAGGGCAGCACGGTGGGAAGGGGGACACGGGGCCCTCAGGGCTTCCTCCAACTTTTACCACTTTTAGGCACTTTTTTTGTCCCCTGTCTTGGTTTGCACAGTGGTGCTGAGGCCCCAGCACCGTGGCAGGGGATCACTGCTCCTTCACAGCCGTGCCGTCCATGCCGGGCCACCAGTGGGACCTGGGTGCCACCAGACTGGTCTGGGTACTGCCAGCGTGACCCAGATGCTGCCAGTGGGACCCGGGTGCCACCAGTGTGACCTGACTGCTGCCAGTGTGACTTGGGTGCCACTGCTGTCACCTGGGTACTGCCAAGGTGACCTGAGTGCTTCCAGTGTGACCCAGGTGCTGCCGGTATGGCCCAGGTGCCACCAGTGTGACCTGACTGCTGCCAATGTGACCTGGGTGCCACCAGGGTGACCCAGGTGCCAGCAGAGTGGCCCAACTGCCCCCAGTGTGACCTGGGTGCCACCAGTGTGACGTGATGCCACTGACATGGCCAGGTATTGCTGGTTATCATAGAAAGCAATAATTCCTCATCGGGCCTTTCCCTTCAGGGATTTCTGTGCTGGAAGCAGGAGAAGCTTTGGGGCAAGAAATCCCGCTGACATGATTGTTTATTTTATTTTTATTTTATGTATCATTCATTTTTGCTTTGCCCCCTCCCTGCTGATGCCGGCCTTGGTGCCTGCAGGAGGGAGGGTTAATTATTTTGGGTAAAATCTGAGCAAATTCCTGCGTCTGGGGAGAAAAAAAAAGAAAAAAATGTTATTTTTTTCTTTGCTGTTAATACCTGTGATTATTTTATACAGTAAATTTTAAAGCTTACGGTTTTATAATTTAATAAAGGTGATGGTATTTGCGGGCAGACGCCTGGTGGCTGCAGTCACACAACCACAGGGCTGGAAGAAGAAGAAGGGGTGGAAGGAGAAGAAGAAGAAGGGGTGGAAGAAGAAGAAGAAGAATCTCCTGCACCCCCTTGCCCAGGCAGGGTCACCTGGAGCCCCAGGGCCGTGCCCAGGCAGGCTTTGGGATGGCCCAAACACGGAGAGCCCAGGGCTGCCCTGCGCGGCTGCTCCCGGGCTCTGCTCCCTCCGTGGGTTCTTCCTCACAGGATAAGGGGATATTTTGAGTGGGAAGGGACCCTCAGGATCATCCAGGGCAGCCCCTGACCCTGCACAGACCCTCCAGCAACCCCATCCTGTGCCTGAGCATTGTCCAAGTTCTCCTGGAGCTCTGGCAGCCTCGGGGCTGTGCCCATCCCCTGGGGAGCCTGGGCAGTGCCAGCACCCTCTGGGGATGAACCTTTCCCAAAATCCAGCCTGGCGCGGCTCCAGCCGTGCCCCCGAGTCCATTGGGGTGGAATTCCAGCGGTTCCGTCCCTGTTCGGGCCACCCCAGGACTGCCCTCAGCGCTGGCCGGGACGAAACGCGGGCGCGGCGCGGCCCCTCCCGGCCACCGTCGCGCTCCATCTGCCCCGGCCAACGAGCGGCGGAAGCGGAAGCGGCGGCGGGGCCGGGGTCGCGGGGCCGAGGCGATGCCGCTGCACCGCTTCCCGCCGCGGCTCTGGGCCGCCATGCGGATGCGGGAGGGCATCTGCGCCCGCCTGCCGCAGCACTACCTGGCCTCGCTGCAGGACGACACGCCGCCCACCCCGGTGCACTGGGAGCCGCACGGCCTGCGCTACCGGCGGAACCCGCGCACCGGGCAGCGCGAGCGCGTGCAGGACGTGCCCGTGCCCGTGTACTTCCCGCCCGCCGCCAACGAGGGGCTCTGGGGCGGCGAGGGATGGGTGCGCGGCTTCCGCTACGCGCGCAACGACAAGGTGAGCGCTGCGCCCTTCCCCGGGTCGGGCCGGGCCGGTGTCAGCGGGGCCTCCCCCGGGGCAGCCTCTGATGGCCGGGCCGTGCCTAGCTCTCCACCAGGCTGCCCAAGACGTGGAAGCCGCAGCTGTTCAAGCGTCAGTTCTACAGCGAGATCCTGGACGCCACGCTGACCATCACCGTCACCATGCGCACGCTCGACCTCATCGACGCCGCCTTTGGCTTCGACTTCTACATCCTCAAGGTACCGACTAATACATCCTCAAGGTACCGATTTGTACATCCTCAAGGTACCGATTTCTATATCCTCCCGGGCTGTGCCCACAGTGCCCTCAGCCTCGGCTGGCAGGCACGGAGTCCTGGAATTGGGCACAGACAATCACAGGTTGGAACAGACCCCCAGGGATCATCCAGAGCAGCCTCCGGCCCTGCACAGACCCCCCCAACACTCCCATCCTGTGCCTGGGCATTGTCCAAGCTCTCCTGGAGCTCTGGCAGCCTCGGGGCTGTGCCCATTCCCTGGGGAGCCTGGGCAGTGCCAGCACCCTCTAGGGATGAACCTTTCCCAAAATCCAGCCTGACCTGCCCTGGCCCAGCTCCAGCCATTCCCTGTCCCTGTCCCAGAGATCAGAGCTGCCCTGGGGAGGAGCTGCAGCCCCCCCTGAGCTCTGCCCTCAGTGTCCTCTTCTCCAGGCTGAACAACTGCTGCTGTTAATGCTCTAGCACAGTTCTAATGCTCCCAGCCTTTAATTCTCTCTTGACTGCAGCCCTTGATACAAAAACTCAGAGCTGTGATCAAATTTCCAGAACAAATCCAACAGATCTTTCCCCACGTGTGTCCTGGGAGCCTGTGCTGGCTGTGGGTGAGCTGGCAGTGCTGGCAGTGTGCTGGGCACTGCTGTGTCCCCTGGCTGGTCCCTAACCCTGTGGGAGCCCAGGGCACAGGGTGTTGGGGTTCCTGTTGCCAATTCCCCGACTTCTGGGACTCTGGCTGGGCCCTCCCAGGGGGCTCCCCTGTTTGGGAGACCCTCTTGGAGTGGTTTTGTGTCAGGAAAGAGAGATGCACTGGATCTTTTTGGTCTTCAGGTTCTTGTTTATTATTATCTTATCTAGAGTTATCTATCTTATCCTGAGTTTTGCATGCTGTCCACACCAGGCTCAGCACACTGGAAAAGCACCACAAAAATGGCCAACAATCTCTTCTGACAAGGTCTTTTAAAGCTAAACTATCCAATTAAGAACTGACATCTAGGTTATTTTCCCTTTTAACCCAATAACTGATCCTAAAGAGCTGCAATGGGGACTTTTCCATCCAATTACAAAATGCCACCCAAACCCATGAAGAAGAAGGAAGAAGCATGAAGAAGAAACCCAGGATGACACCCTGTGCCCTCCATCTTGCTTCCATCCACAACATACTAAAAAATCCCAAAACCTCAATTTCCCACCTAAGTGATACACCTACACTACTCTCTACAATCTACTTCACACCTTAGTGGATTCTGGTCTATTCTGGGGTCTAGGAAACTTTCTCCATGAATGAGGGTCAAAGTCAGTGCTCCCCTGGGGGTCAGGGCACCCCAGAACAGACAGGGAAATATTCCCAGTGCCCTGAGTTTCCACAACAGGGAATATTTCTCTGCTCTGAGGGGTTCTGACCCCCAGAGAAACACTGCCTTTAACCTTTGTCCATGGAGAGGGCTTGCAAGACTTTGAGATAGACTGGAGTCTGCCAAAGTGTGAAAGAGATAATAGACAGTAGTATAGTTTGTCACTGGGTGAGAAATTTAGCTTTTGAGATTTTTAGTATAGATGTAGACCAAAGCAAAATGGAAGATCTTGAGCATTGTCTCTGTCTTCTTCTTCTTTATCTACTCAATTTTCCACAGTGTTAGTAGCACAAAAACAGTTAGGTGAGTGTGAAAAACGCCAATCACTTGTTTTTAAAATTTTAAAAGTTTAATAGTAATAAAATGGTTATAAAAATAATAATATAATTAGAGTAATAAAAATGTGGACAATTTGGATTAGGACAATATGAGACAATAAAAACAAAGAGTTACAGACGTCCAGGTACCTTTTTCTGGGCAGAAAAGAAGCCTGAAAAAGGATCCACGTTAACAGGGGATTAACCATTAAAAACAACAGCCTGTTGCATATTCATACACCTCATACATGATGCATAAATTCCATTCAAATACAGGATTCTGTCTGGTCATCATCAACTTCTTCCTCTGAATCCTGACTGCATCTTCAGGGCTGAGCAAGGCAGGAAGAAGTTCATTTCTTCTGATAAGAGAGCAATAAATTCTCTTTCTCTGAAAGATTCAGGTGTCCTGTGGTTGCTATCTCACTGCAAATCCTTTCTTTAAAAAAGTATCTTACATAGTGTAGTCTCTATTTTAACATTGTTATAACCTAAAACTATATTTAACACTACTTAAGAAAATTAATACAGCCTAACTTTCTAACATAACACATAAAATATTCATTTTAATATTTGTAAAAAGCCAATCATAAAATCCACATTTTTCACAGCGAGGAAAGCCACAATGCAAAAGTTACATAAACAGGCAAGAGATGAGTTATTAGTTGAAAAGTAAAAATAAAGTGCCTTTTAAGAGTTAATTAGATGAAACAACTTTAAAAGACCTTGAAGCTGTACATCTTATAACCACTTTGCAGTGCTCTCCCTGTGTGCTGAGTCTGGTACAGACAGCGTGCCAAAGCTTTAGATAAGATTATAAAAAACAACAAGCTGCAGACCAACAAAGTCCTGTGTACCATCAAACTGTTACAAGAGGGTTTCCCCCCAAGCAGAGGGGCCAACACCTGTGTAACCCCTTTGCAGACTCCCAGAGCTGACATGTGCTCCAAGCTGGGCATGGACCTGAAGAGGACGATGCTGCTGCGCCTGGCCCGGCGCGACCCCGCGCTGCACCCGCACGACCCAGCCCGCAGAGAGGCCATCTATGACAAGTACAAGGTGGGCTCAGCTCCTGGGCATGCATTGCTCTCGTGCTTCTGGCCAAGAGACAGGGGGAAATGTCAAAAATAAATTTGTCAGAACTAAATTTTTGAAAAATTCTCAAAGCCTAACAAAAATCTCACATAATATACATCTACATATAAACCTTAAGAGAAGTGTGGTGGTGTGAGGTCCCCAGGACGAGGTGAGAGATGAGAATTTGACTCCATGTTCTCAGAAGGCTGTTATGTTATGTTATATTATATTATATTATATTATATTATATTATATTATATTATATTATATTATATTATATTATATTATATTATATTATATCATATCATATCATATCATATCATATCATATCATATCATATCATACCATATCATACCATATCATACCATATTATACCATATCATATCATATTATATCATATCATATTATATCATATCATATTCTATCATATTATATTATATCATATCATATATCATATCATATATATTATGCTATACTAAAACTATACTAAAGAAAGAGAAAGGATGCATCAGAAGATTTAACAAGAATGAATAAAAAAAACCTGTAACAGACTCCTCAGAGTCTGACACAGCTGGCTGTGATTGGTCCTTAATTAGAAACAATTCACATGTTTGGATAAACAATCTCCAGATCCACATTCCAGAGCAAAACATGGAGAAGCTGAGGCTTCTCATCTTCCCAGTAGAAATCCTGGTGAAGGGATTTTTCAGAAAATATCACAGTGACAAGATAAGAGACATGAGCTTAAAAATACCATAGAATAAGAAACATTGTTAAGAGAAATAGAACTAAAAACAAGTTTTAAAAGATAGCCTTACAAATAAAAATATACTACATTTCTAAATACTTTAGAAAAATATAACCATGAAAAATCCATTATAAGACCAACAAAGAGTAATTTTAAATAATTAGCTTTAAAGCATTTACAATATAATGTAACAAAAACTGATAAACAACCACTTAATAATTATAATAATATTTCTTATAATAGTATTTATAATAATATTGTTTATAATATATTATATAATATACAATACCACCTAAACCTGTGAAGAAGAAGGACTATCTTCTGTTCTAAAACTTCTATATGGTTTTATATATATTACTATAATCTAAAACTTTAAACTCTTAAGTTCTGTACTATGTGATATTATACACTTCTATTTAAAATACACAGTTATAATTTTGGTTCTGTCATTAAATTTTGGAAGCTTTCTCCACGGCCTCAGGTCAAATGCAGTATTCTCTTGGGATCAGTGCCTGTGAGCACAGAAAGTCTGAAATTCTCAGTAACCAGGGTTCCAACACTGGGCATAGAGAGGATTTGGATCTTGGTCACCTGCAGAGACTGTGCTACCTTCTCCTCCTTTTATCACAGGAATTTGTGATCCCAGAGGAAGAAGCTGAATGGGTTGGCTTGAGTTTGGAAGAAGCCATAGAAAAACAGAGGCTCCTGGAAAAAAAGGTGATTTCCTGAGGCAGTGCTCAGCACTGAGGTGTTGTGGCTGCACATGAAGCTTCTCCATGGGCTCCAGGACACACTGATGGCAGGCAGTGTGAGGAGGGAAGGGAAGGGAAGGGAAGGGAAGGGAAGGGAAGGGAAGGGAAGGGAAGAAAAGAGAAAGAGAGAGTGAAAGAAAAAGAGAGAGAGAGAGAGTGAAAGAAAAAGAGAGAGAGAGAGAGTGAAAGAAAAAGAGAGAGAGAGAGAGTGAAAGAAAAAGAGAGAGAGAGAGAGTGAAAGAAAAAGAGAGAGAGTGAAAGAAAAAGAGAGAGAGTGAAAGAAAAAGAGAGAGAGAGAGTGAAAGAAAAAGAGAGAGAGAGTGAAAGAAAAAGAGAGTGAAAGAAAAAGAGAGAGAGAGTGAAAGAGAGAGAGAGTGAAAGAGAGAGAGAGTGAAAGAGAGAGAGAGAGTGAAAGAAAGAGAGAGAGAGTGAAAGAGAGAGAGAGTGAAAGAAAGAGAGTGAAAGAAAGAGGAGAGAGTGAAAGAGAGTGAAAGAAAGAGGAGAGAGTGAAAGAGAGTGAAAGAAAGAGAGTGAAAGAAAGAGAGTGTGAAAGAAAGAGACAGTGAAAGAAAAAGAGAGTGAGTGAAAGAAAGAGAGAGAGAGTGAAAGAAAAAGAGAGAAGGAAGGAAGGAAGGAAGGAAGGAAGGAAGGAAGGAAGGAAGGAAGGAAGGAAGGAAGGAAGGAAGGAAGGAAGGAAGGAAGGAAGGAAGGAAGGAAGGAAGGAAGGAAGGAAGGAAGGAAGGAAGGAAGGAAGGAAGGAAGGAAGGAAGGAAGGAAGGAAGGAAGGAAGGAAGGAAGGAAGGAAGGAAGGAAGGAAGGAAGGAAGGAGAAAGAAAGAAAGAAAGAAAAAGAAAGAAAGGCAAGCTGAGCAGCAGCTGTGGCACAGCAGATTGCCTTGTTCAGCCCCTGAATAAAACCCAGTCACATCTTCCCCGTGCTGCTGCTCAGGTTCACTCCTTTCACATGATTTATTCTCTGCTTTGTTGCAGGATCCTGTTCCCCTCTTCAAGGTGTATGCTGAGGAGCTTGTCAGCCAGCTGAGAGAGCAGCAGCAGGCAGTGCAGAAGCAGTAGAAGGAAGAAACCTTGGCAGCAAAACCCCTGCTGCAGAGAAAGCAGTGGGGTTCAGGGGCTCTGCTGCCTGAATCAGGGGCTCTGCTGCCTGAACCAGGCTGCTGGGGAAGGGGCCATGTGAAAGCCACATTGCTGAAGTGCCATGAGAGCCTAAATTCACTGAGGACCTGGCTGAAGTGCCATGAGAGCCTAAATTCACTGAGGACCTGCTCCTGTGGGCTGAGGAAAGAGTTTCTGTGCTGTGGCTCTGAGAGTCCTTGTCAGAACTGACTCAGTGTGGATCTTGTGCCTGTACCAGCAGTTGGCTGCTGTTGAGAGCTGATCTGTGATACAAAATACACATTTTGGTATCAGTAGCAGTAAACTTTTCTCTGATACTTGTTTTATCAGTGGGTTGTAGCAGGGGCTGTGAGACACAATGTAACTTAGGTCAATCCCCAGCTTCATCCACCTGAGGTGGTTGTGCCCCAAGAGTGTGACCCCAAACCTCAGCTGAGCTCCCCAGCACAGCTCATTAACCCCTGGGCTACAGCCCTGTTTCTATTGTAAGTTGGTGACTTTTAAATCTTATTTTGTAAAGATGTGGCTGAAGTGGGTGTTGAAGTCTTTGCTGTTGTCTGGCAACAAGGGACTGCAAAGCACTTGCCATAATTACAGGCTGATGAGCAGCACTGGGAGTCCCTGGTGTTGTCTGGAAGCTTTGTGGTGGTGCAGTGAGTTTCTGGGTGGATCAAAATCAGCCTCTGCCCTTTTCCCCTCAGCTCTGAGGTGAGGGGCAAGCGCAGAGCCTGCAGGCTGAACCTTGTGTGGCTCATCTCTGTGGAAGAGACTTTGCCTTCCCCCTCTCTGGCACATCAGGGCAAGTGCACTGCCTTGGTTTGTGATAAGGACTGCTAAGAGAGAAACTGGCCTTGTAGAGCAGAGTGTGGCTCTGCCCTCTGTGCTGGAATGGAGCAGGACCCCAGAGGAGTGGAGATTGGCAGTGCCTGCAAGGTTTGGGGATGGTGCAGAAGCAGCCTCTGGGTGAGCACAGAGCCTTGGCAGGGCAGTGCTGGGGCTTGGCTGAGGGAGGTGCTGGACTTGAATGGGATCTGAACAACATTTCATGAAAACCAGACTTCTCTGCTGCTCTTCAGGACAGAGAAGGGGCTGGAGTCCCCATAAGGGTATTTGAGCCTGCAGAGGAGCCTGGCACAGGCTGGTAGGGCTGGCTGGGGCTGCCAGACAGGGCTGTGCTGTTCTTGCAGGGGCACAGGGGGAACAGGCTGGGTGGCAGAAGCTGGAATGTTTCCAGCCTGCCTGTATGTTTCATCCCCAGCAAGTCCAGGTTCTCAAGAGCAAACTGGCACAGAAGGTCATATTTGCCTAATTAATGACAGTGCAGCTAGGCCAGCACAATGACATTTGGTTATCTTCTCTCTCTGCTGCAACTGAGCTGAGTGGGAAGCTGCTGCCCAGCTCCTCGGGGACCCTGACACTCTGCCCTCGTTAGAGATAATTAGCTGGGACAAGCTCCTTGTGTGACAGCTCTGCTGATCATTAGGGCCAGCTCAGCTCATGCATTTTAATGCAGCTCCCAGCAAAGCTCCAGCCCCCCATGCCTCTGTCCTGGCCCTGCTCTGGAACATGCCCAGCCCCTGAGCTCCTGGGCACTGAGGAGCTGCTGGAAGTGGCTGAGGGGACAATGAGCAGCTGCTGCTCTGTCCCAGGGGTGGGAGGTTCTGGTTCTGTGGAGCTGAGGCTCTGCTTGTGTGTCCTCCACGGTTGGACCCTGACTGAGCTCCAGAGCTGCTCACGGGGCATCTGCAGGATCTGCTGCCTCAGGAGGGCTCTGTGGGTGACATGGGGCAGCAGGAGCTTTTGGGGAGAGCTCCTATCCTGCTGGGGGTGAGGGTTCTCAGGGGGGCACTCCATGAGCACAGCCTGTTGCCAGACAGCAGCAAAGACTTCAACTACATTTTTACAAAATAAGATGTAGAGGTCACCAACTTAGAACACAAACAGGGCTGTACCCCAGGGGTTAGTGAGCTGTGCTGGGGAGCTCAGCCCCACCTGCTGAGGGGTTTGGGGTCACACTTTTGGGGTACAACCATCTGGGGTGGATGAAGGCTCTGCTTGGTGGGTGACATGGGGTACCAGGAGCTTTTGGGGAGAGCTCCTGTCCTGCTGGGGTTGAGGGTTCTAAGGGGGGCACTGCATGAGCACAGCTGGAGCTGCAGGAGGGTCTCTGGGGGGATCTATTTAGGATATGGTGAATCCTGATTTTTGTCATCCTGCCTTTGTGGAGAAACCTTCCCCTTGCTCCTTTCCTTCCACCCATGTTGGATGTGGCTCAGAGATGTACTCTCATGGATTACTGTGCTGCCTTGAGGGAAGCTGCAATGTGGGGACCAGGGGTGCTGCAGCCTCAGGAGAAGCACAGTTGGAGCACACAGGGCTGCTGGGCACAGCAGCAGATGTCTCGAGGTGGGGAGGCAACTCCTGTGCAGCATTTGGGGCAGTTTGGGCTACAAACCCCACAGCCAGGTGGCCTTGAGGAGGTAGAGGAACAGCTCAGGGCTCTGTGTTATTAGTCCTGTCCTGATTTTGCAGCTGGAGAGTTTGGAGCTGCTTGAGGGATGGTTTTCCCTGTTTAGGTGGGCTCAGATAAAGGTTCCCCTGCTGCCCTGACAGGGGGGGGTCAGAGGAGCTGGTAGTTTGCCATGACAACATGTTCCTAGGAAGCCACAGATGCCACAAACCCAGGGTGCAATATGGTGCTGTCAGCTTGAAGTTGAAAATCCACCCCTGCACAGGGGAAGGGCCTGGCTGCCCAGCCCTGCTCAGACCCCAGCACTGCCTCAGCCTTCTGCAAAGGTCACCAGGCTCTGCTGCTGGCCCAGAGCCAGACCCAGGCAGGTGGAACATGGGCAGGATCCAACACCAGGCTGGCAAGGATGTGACAGCCCCCAACAAACTGCCTGAGAGCCCTGCCAGGGTCACCTTGGAGCTGGCAGAGTTAGACCAGGCTGGAATAGCAGTGCTTGGAGAGGGGAATGGTGAAAAATGATCTCATCAAGACAGCAGTGAAAGGATGATGGATGAGAGGCTGGGAGAGGCACGTGTGCTGTGTCAGCCACCAGCACTGGGAAGTGGGACATCAATCCAGGACTGAGGGATTCCTGTTTCATTCATTCCTCAGGTATCAAAAACATGCCACTCTCTTTAATAGTCCCAGCAAGCCACAAATATGAAACTGACCCTTGGAATATGAAATTTGGGCCCATGTTTCAGTTGTGAAGGAGCAATCACCCCCAAACCCAACATTGCAAAGTCATAAAGCAGAGAAAAATGTTAATTGGGAAAAAACATCCAAGCAGGAGAGGCCTGGGGTGGGATGGCTGGGCTAATCCTGCTCTTTGGGACTTGGTGGTTCTGAATTCTGGTGTTTGCTGGTGTCTTGAAGCAATGTTTGGGTTTTGCCTGTCTCACTTGTTATTCCCAGCAAGTCGCAGTCACTGATCAAAAACCCAGCTTGAGATTAAGGCTCTGCTTCTCAACAAACATTTTCTTTCCTGTTTACCTTCATGAATTAAACAGATTTTCCTTGTAAGTTCCCAACAAGCCCCTTTGTATTCAAACAAAAGGGGTATCTGGGGAGCAATAGCACAAGCAGTATGTCCTTTCCTGTGGTCTCAGAGGTGAGCTGCCTTTCCCTCCTGGCTTGGAGGCTCTTGGTCTGGAATCACTGTTGCAAAGGGGTGTGAATCAGCCCAAACTTGGTGTCAGCACAGCTCAAAATGGAGCCTGAAATAATCCCCCGTCCTATGGCATTAATCAAGGAGACATGAGATTTAGAAACTCACTTGGACAATTCCAGCAAACCCTTTCAAGTATCACTGCAGTGTTTGTTTTCAGATCCACAGGACTCAATTCCTTCCAGACAGCTGGTCTGGGATGCTCAGACTGTTGGAGGTGGAAGTATGGGCTGTGCTTACCCCCCACAGCTTTGCTCTCTCCCTGGAATTTGCTCTGGGGATCAGGAAATGGCAGCAAATATCCTGGTGGATATTTACCACATGAGTGACAAACCATTCTGGATTTTGGGGATCAAGATGGAGCTGGGCTCATTGCAGGGGAAGAACAGGAGCCCATGGGTAGTGAGAAACACTGGCTGGACTTGGGAAAAAAACTTCCACAGGAGGGTGGTGCAGTCTGGGACAGGCTCTGGACAGGTGGAGGTTTTCAGGACAGGGTGAGGCCCTGGAGCCCTGCTTGGAGCAGGAGCCTGGGCTGAGACCTCCAGAGGTCCTCCCAAGCTCACTGTTCTGAGCTGCAGCTCCTCCCTGCAAAGCAGCCAGAGAGGAGAGGATGAGTCTGAGGAAGAGCAGCTCCCAGGTGCTGGCTGGAGGGGAGGGAGTCCAGTAGCTCTGCTCCCTCCCTCCTCTGGGGCATGGACAGTCACCCTCCTGCCTGAGCTCCTCCTGCTGCCACGTGCTGTGCTCTGTCTTCTCCATCCTCCCAAGGAATTGCCTGGTGTGCCAAAGCATCACCTCCAGGAGAGGTGGCTGCAGGCAGGGATGGCAGCACGGAGTCACTGGCCACGTGCTGGATCACCTGGAGCCCAGGGAAGTGGAGCAGCCACCAACCTGGCTCTGTGTGAGCATCCCTGGGGCTGGGAGCCTCGGGTGCTGCTGCCTGTGGCCAGCAGAAGGTCCTGGTGGCTCTCCAGGAGTGACCACTGGCTTTTCCAGCCCTGCTGGTTCCTGACACACTGTTTGTCCTGCCCAGCTGCCCCAGCCCTGCAGGGGACGAGGCATGGCCAGTGTGTCAGGGCAGGGTGGTGGCCTGGTGGTGGCAGGGCTCTGGGGGGACTCTCCCTGGGGTGACACCAGCCTGCAGCCAGGCAGGGTCTGATTGAGCCTGAGCAGAGGTGGACAGGAACATTGGGGCTTAATTGTTACAGTAAGGAGTCATAAGAAAGAAAAAAAAAAAAAAAACCAAAAAAACAAAACCAACAAAAAACAAACAAAGAAAAACAACAAGCTAAAAAAAACTCCATATGCAAATGAATTGCCAAAAGCTCCTGCAGCTGTGGGCTGAGCTGGACTGGGCACACTGCACATGGGAGATGGGCACACAGAACGGGGCAGTTCCCTCCATTCCCCTCTCCTGGCACACTCCAGGGGCTCAGGCTGGGCTCCTTGGCTGCAGGAGGAAGAGCTGAGGGGGGTGGCCATGGCAGCTCCAGGCTGGCCACAGAGGCCTTTGCCTGGCTGGACTCTGCTGCTCTGAGCATCCCTTGCACACATTTCCAGGCAGACATTGCCATGGTAACATGGAAATGGTGCTGGCTCAGGCCAGCCAGAGCACTCAAACACAGAA